AGAGAACTAAGCAATATCATTCTATATTGGTTTTCTAGATAGATTTGATATTTCTCCTTTGAGAACTTACATGACTGGAAAAGGAAAAAGTGGTAAAAATGAACATTAAAATGATTGTGTTTCATTTGGGAATAAGTAAAAAACAAGATTAACCTTCATTTTCAGAGAGCATTAACTGCATTACACTTATCTGATCTGAAAAGAGTTTTTCAGCATATATAGACAATCATTCCTTCTACAAAATTAGTATATACTATTAACAACACCTATATAAGAGGCGCTCTGATGATGCAGTGATTAATGCATTTGGCTGCTAATTGAAAAGTGTGTGGTTCAAAACCGTCAGCCAACCCATGGAAAAAAGTTGAGGCAGTCTGCTTCCTCAAAGATTTACTGCTTTGCAAATCCTATGCTGTTGTTGTTGTTATGTGCCATCACATCAGACCTGACTCATAGCGCCCCCTCCTTGGGTTTCTGAGGCAGTATCACTACAAAAGTAGATTGCCTTATCTTTCTTCTGAGGAGTGGCTGGTGGGTTTGAACCACCAGCCTTCTGGTTAGCAGTCAAGTGGCTTAGGCACTACGCTACCAGAGCTCCTTTGCAAACCCTACGGGGTAGTTCTAATCTGTTTGATAGGGTCACTGTGACTCAGAATCAACTCAATGGCAAGTGGGTTTTATTTAATTAGTATAAAAGAGGAAAATAAAAGAAATATTTAACAGGTCATAAACTTCTAGTAATTTTCTTGAGTATTTAGTGTTTATTTTCATTGGGTGCATGATAATATTGTAATGATTGAGAATATGGATTGTGATAAATAATTTAAATCACAGCTTCACCAATTGCAAGCTAAGTAATTTGTAAGTATACCTAATAATACATTTATAGTATATTTTTCTCAGCTTTGAAATGAAGAGATAAATGATGTTAATTATTACTGTTACTTTCTGTTCAGATACTGATTTTCACAATGACACAAATATGTAAAAGAAAAATAATACTTAAGGAATACATTTACTTAGCTCTCTTAAAAAGAAACCCATCCAGTAATATTATTTTGATAGTTATTATTTTATTTTTTGATGAAATAAAAATTATCAAAATAAGAGCCAAAAACCTCAACAATATCAAAATTGTTGTTGTTGTTTTTAGGTGTCATTGAGTCACTTCCCACTAATATTAACCTTATGTAAAACAGAACAAAACAATGTACCATCCTGTGCCATCCTCATGATCCTTACTATGCTTGAGCCCATCTTTACAGACACTGTGTCAATCCATCTCATTGAGGGTCTTTACATCTTTCACTGACCCTCCACTTTACTGAGCATGTTGTCCTTTTCCAGGCACTGGTTCCTTATGATAACTTGACCAAAGTACATAAAAATTCTTCCAATTCTCACTTCTAATGACTATTCCAACTATACTTCTTCTAAGGCAAATTTTTCCTTTCTTCTGGCAGTCCATGGTATTTTCAGTGCTCTTCACCAACACCATAATTAAAAGTCATCAATCCACCTTAGGTCTTATTCATTGTCCAGCTTTCACATGCATGTGTTGTTATGTTGCTGTTAGGTGCCATTGAGTAGTCTCCAACTCATCACAGTAGAATGAAATACCATCCAGTCCTGAGCCAACTCCATAATTCTTGCTATACTTG